TTATTATTATTATTATTATTATTATTTATCCCACTCTAACGAACTAGCAAATTATGATTGTGACTATGAATTAACTACAGTTGTATGTTATCTCTCAAGGGTTGGGACCAAACTAATACTTTTATATCCTTTTATAGTACACACTGCTTTTTCTGCAACCATGCTGTTTACCCCTGTATTCTTGAGAAAAGAACACTGTCTCCGTGTCTGAGCAGACCATGGTTTTCAGGCATGATGGGAAAGTCTTTTCTGTGGCATAGGTTCTCATCATTAAAGCTCTTCCCCTCTGAATACTGCCTGCCAAACTATGCGGCTTCCAGCCGAGGTCGGCGCACGAGGACATGGATTGCAATGAGGCCTAACTGAACATACTTCCTACCGGTGACACCCCACATCAATCTTACACTGCTCTGCCCTAGGAGGTGAAAACATGGGCTCACACACTCTCAAGCAATGACTGGAGCTCTGCGGGTGTGTTTTGAGCAAAACCTCTCATTTCATCTCTTGATTTGAAGCAGAAAGCTCTAAAGAGTGTCATTTACTAAAAAAGTAGTATTAGCTTACGCAATACTTCGCTTAAAGTTTGGAATTTAAAGCTGAATTGTATATATTTTTTATGTAAAATACTTCTATATCAGCGTGAAATGCAGAGGCAACTAAAAATAATCTGTCAGAACAACCAATGGCGTTAGTTTGGGGCGGGACTATCTGTTTGTTCAACCAATAGCAAGGGGGAATGTTTAGGGAAACCAAATTTTCATGTCATTTTGTTTGCAATTCTGTTTGGTGATGCAAGTAAAATTACACTTTTATTCTAACATTATTATTTTTATTTTATTATTATTTATATATAATTGCATTGCACTTAAAATGCATTGAAAATGCATAGTGTGTGAGTAAAAACATAGCATCACTTCCATGGTTCTGTTATCTGGATTAAGTGGACAGGTTGATGTTGTTTTCTCAATGGAAAGCTTTGACTGCTCACTTTGCTGGCCTGGTGATTTTAACTTCTCAGCAGAGCCCCACTGGCAGAGAGGAAGGTTTCGTTCTTGCACTCTCACCACGTGTGTTTTGTCAGCTGGATCGCAGCATTTCATCGGGAACTTCACCAATTCTTAGATTTGATGGACCTCACACTTACACAAGGCCTTCGACTATCTCAAAGAAAAATTCTAAAGAGATTTGACAGTGTTTGCAACCTCATTAGAGGTGCTTGCTTAGGCAATCCCGTAGACTTCCACTGAAGGGAGGTACTCGAGCCGTATCAAGGGACCAGAATATTATTGAGAATCTGGTGGAGGTTTTTTTTTTTTTTTTTTACTATTTTTAACGGTGTATTTTCTTGAGAAAATGTAAAAATGTTGCAAATGCTAGAATCCACAGAAACTTCAGGTACTTTTTATTTTATTTTATTTTATTTTATTTTATTTTATTTTTAGAATAAATGTTTAAAAATATTTCCATTTGGAGTTTCATTGTATTTAGGTTAATTTTTCTTTCTCCTGGTGGATATTCAGAAGGATGCAGACAAATCTTACTGCCCAAAAAGATGGTTCCTTTCCTCTTTTTTAAGCTGAATTTATATATATATATATATATAAACCAGTAAATTACAAAACAGTTGCTGTTTCAATAGTCCAGAAAGAGCAAGAGATTTAATATAGCACCAGAACCAGCACAGGTCAAATGTGGAGCATTTGAGAATAAAAAATGTCTAAAGCCAAAAAATATAAATGAGTCTCTTTCATTGCTGCTTATCATTGATTCACATTCTCCACAATGTTTCAACACTATCATTCAGCTGTATCTGTCTCTCTTTTTGTCGTTTCAGAGTTAAACATCCTGTGGGCTGCCCATCAGGTTCACCACAGTTCTGAATACTACAATCTGTCGACAGCACTACGCCAGTCTGTCACCCAGCAGGTTTCCTCATTGGTATGAAGTACCTGCATCTCACTAATTAATCTGTGATAATTTTGGCATGATACATGATAGATCATTAGTTAATGAGCTCTAACAGTGTAGCTAATGGCCTATTATGAAGTGATAATATTTGATGTGTTTTATCAGGCGTTTTACCTTCCGTTGGCGCTGATGGTCCCTCCGTCAGTTTTTGCAGTGCACATACAGTTTAACCTGCTCTATCAGTTCTGGATTCATACTGAGGTACTGTGAGATTTGTCTCTACTAATTGTTTAGCACATTTTACTACTATTTTGAATCTTTTAGTAACATATTATAAGCAATTTCTTGACCGTTCCAGGTTAAGTTTCATAGCATGTGTAGCCATTTTCAAAACTCTAACAAATTGTAGTTTTGCCCGTTCTGTGGTTCTGAATACCACAGTCTATCATAAGTAATGAGATTTTGAGATTTTATGAAATATTCCAAACAGAAGCTTTACATTTGCCATTTAAATGGCCTTCAGTATCGGCTTTACATTCGGGGATCATTTGGGAAATGGATTTGGAATCACTTCCATCTTGTAGAGCTCTATTAGTGAAAACAGTCTTCACGTCTCCAGTTTTCTGAAGGGTATAATTTATGCTCCCTTTATAGGCTTTTTTTGATGTCGTGTCATTTATTGGCATCGAATTCCCAGTCCTCATCCAACATTAGAACACGAGTTAAATTGTGAGGGAGCTCCTTTCTTTTAAGATAGAATTCAGCTGTTGCCAGATCTCTCATTACATGAAAATAATGGCCCACTGAAATATGGCGCTCACTTACGCTGAGCTGTTCCCATTTTGCAGACGTCAGAAGTCAAGTACTCAAGTAAAAAACCTGATGGTCGGCTCTAACACTTGCGATATATGCCTCATCAAGCTCAAATGGATGTTTATATCCTGGTAAAATAAGGCACGGAGTGTGTATGTGTGCATTTAACTCGCCATAAAGCTTGTGCAGTGACACGCACGCATATTAATGAGTGTGTGTTATCAGGCGCATTGGCTTCTATATGCGTCTTCTAATCCATTGTAATGTTTGTTTTACTTCCAATCTATAAATAATGTTCTTTCCATCTGGAAATTTGGCCACCTTTCTCTTTCCGTAGTTAGCGGCGTTTCGACCGAGCTCATCAGATAAGAAAACACTATGTATTAATGATGTCTCCAAGTACATTTGTGAACATCTGAACCAGTCAAGGTTCCACAATCCCTTAAGAGCACATTTCTTCAGCGTTTGAAGCCAAGATAAAGACAAGGCACTCAATAGGGAAAATTAATCACATGCTGTATGTAAGACTAATATTAAGATTCGGTCTGCCTGTCCATATGAAAAATGTCAAAGGAGGACAATGGGCTAACCCGTGATCATTTGTCTTTTGGTGTTTTGTCTGTGGTTTACATACTGCATATAGGAACGACCTGTTGCTGTTGCCCCTTCGTGCATGAAAGGAAATAGTTATTAGTGAGGTTAAAGAGAGAGTTCACCAAAAAATGAAAATTCTGTCATCATTTACTTACAATAAAGTCATTCTAAACCTGTATGACTTTATTTCTTCTGTAGAACACAAAAGAAGGAATGTTCTAGTTGTTTTTGCCCATGCAAGCTTTCAAGCTGAAAAATGACATAAAAGCACTATAAAAGTGGCTTTCGTCAGAAACGGATCCAAATTTAGGTCATTATTCAGTGATAATCAGTCAGATGGGTTTTGTGAACTAGATCAACTGATTCAGATCATCAGTGAATACTGTCATATTTCGCTATATAAAAATAATCATATGTGTCCCTTGACAACAAAACCAGTCATAAGGGTCAATTTTTTAAAATTGAGATTTATGCATCATCTGAAGCTGAATAAATAAACTTTCTGTTGATGTATGGTTTGTTAAGATAGGACAATATTTGGCCGAGATACAACTATTTGAAAATCTGGAATCTGAGGGTGCAAAAAAATCAAAATACTGAGAAAATCACCTTTAAAGTTGTCCAAATGAAGTCCTTAGCAATGCATATTACTAATCAAAAATTAAGTTTTGATATATTTACGGTAGGAAATTTACAAAATATCTTCATGGAACGTGACCTTTACTTAATATCCTAATGATTTTTGGCATAAAAGAAAAATCTATAATTTTGACCCATAAAATGTATTTTTGACTATTGCTACAAATATACCCAAGCGACTTAAGACTGGTTTTGTGCTCCAGGGTCACATATGACTTCAGAAGACTTGGAATATAGCACACAAGTCACATACACTACTTTTATCATATTTTATGGTGCTTTGCATCCTTTTTGTAACTCAAAGGTTTTGTAAGAATATAATCTGTGACCTTGTGTTTCTGTCACTAGCTGGTCAAAGATCTTGGACCTCTGGAGTGGATCCTAAATACTCCCAGCCACCACAGAGTTCATCATGGTAAGTATTATTATCTTTGACAGTAGAGTGTTGACAGTTGACTGTTCCCATAGCGCATTGGTATTGCTCAGTTTATCACTGTGGGTCAAAAGCTAAGCATGTATTGTCATTGAGATCTTATCATGTGACTTAAGTAACACAGTTAATACTGGCTATACCCTTAAACATTTTACACCTGTTAACAGAGATGCCATAATGACCAGTGATTATGTATGAAGTGAATCAGTAACATTTGACCATGAAATCACAGGGCGAAATCCATATTGCATCGATAAGAATTATGCAGGAATCCTGATCATATGGGACAGGATGTTTGGTAAGTAAAATGTCAACCAATAGTTGTTGTCTGAAAATGAGCCTCCAAACATGCATCCATTAAACTCTCTCTCCCTATTATTTGATGTCGTCTTTCTACTGTCAGGAGTAATAAAAAGGGCACAAAGCACAAAAGACCTGTTATTTCTCAACAAATGATCTGTAATGCACTTTTTTTGTAAATTGTGACGTATGAACACACATACAAGTCACTTTGAAAATGTGATGTTCTCTGCTTCTTTCCATCATAGGTACATTCGCTCCTGAAAGTGATAAGGTTGTCTATGGGCTCACACACCCAATCAGCACGTTTGAAATCTGGACTGTTGAGGTTAGTCAGAATTTTGTATCAATTCTAATAAAGATATATTTATTTTTAATTTAATAATTAATTCATTTATTGTCATGTATTGACATATTAATACTAATATTACAGTAATATTTTTAATTGGTTATTTTTATTAAAATACTTTATTTTCTTATTTCTCAGAGTAAAATGTATCCTGTTTTCAAGTTTTGCATAATGTCTGTTTTAGGGTTAGTTTTTTACTATGGTATTATTGTAACATACATGGGCTCAGTGATCACAGTATGAAATCCAAGTTTACATCATTCATAAACAAAATGTTTAGATTAATTTGCCCCCACATTTTATCAAGACCTTTGACTAGTGAAAATATCAACACTGGAGATGAATTGGGTTTCACATAATGCACTCTAGTGTATCAGACCGGCCTAATTTTAGAGATGTAAATATCCAACCAGGGTCACCGGGAGCTGGGCTTCTCCTCACATTACCGTGCTAGTGGAAAAGCCATGCTGTAACCATAACATTATTACTCCACTTTAAACATACGGCTCAGGAGAGGTGAAAGAGTTCTGCAAAACCAAATGGAGGTTGTGTTTGATTATTTTTTCGGTGCTCTCCTGTGGCGGTCTGGAGTAAGAGTGATCTGATGTGTGTGACAAAAAGCATTTAGACGCGAGGACGAGATGATGATGAATAAAATGAATTAGAATAATGTTTATCTTACGGTGAAATATAAACAAATAAGTGAGATGAAAAGTCTGAAAATGTAATAAACTACAAATCAGAAGGGTAGTATTTCATTGTCATAGTTGAGAGAAGTCATTTTAGGTAATGCAGCATTAAAGAGGTTGCTTAATGTTAAGGATGCATGTGCCATGTATGGTTTATAGCCTCATTCTCTTTTCTTTCCTCTCTAAAGTTCCTTTATTACCCGTACCTATGGCAGAGGTTCTGGGAAGCTGAAGGAATTTCAAATAAGCTGTCCGTCATTTTTAAAGGGCCAGGCTGGACTCCAGGAAAACCAAGACTGGGAGACATCGCTGATATACCCCAGGTGGGAAATCATTTTTTTGTTTTTTTTATTTGTTTACTCCACTTTATCAAGATGTTTCTTATTCTGATGAAACAGTAGTCTGCATGCTATTCTGAAATGAATTGAGGATGTATTTAAAATTCCTAAATTTCTAGGATAGAAAATTAAAATGGAATGAAATGAAATGGAGGGGAAAAAATGATTTTTTAAAAACCATTCAAAAGTTTGGGTTCAGTTTTTTTTTTAAAACAAATTAATACTTCTATTCAGCAATTATGCATGAAAATGCATGAACAAAACCAACAGTGAAGACTTTGACTCTGGAAGGCTCAAAATGTTTTCTTTTGAACTTTCTATTCATCAAAGAATTCTGAAAAAAAAAACATATCACAGTTTCCACAAAAATATTTTTGCATAACTCTTTTCAACATTGATAGTCATAAGAAATGTTTCTTGTGCACTAAATCAGCCTATTAGAATTATTTCTGAAGGATCATGAAAAAAAAATTTGAATTCAGCTTTGCTATTACAGGAATAAATTATATTTTAAAATATATTAAAATAAAAAAAATTATTTTGAATTGTAATATTAAATGTATGAATGTTTTGCTGTATTTTTGATCAAATAAATGCAGCCTTGGTGAGCATAAGATAATTCTTTCAAAAACATTAAAACCTTTTGAACAGTGGTTTAAATTATTTTTAATAAAAGAACAGTTTATGGACCATGGTGGAAAAACACTTCCAAAATGTTCTAATTTAGTTCTAATTTCAATGGAAAGTGGAATTAGTATTTAGGAAAACTGGTTGGAAATGATTTTAGCAGTTCCATATCTGCTAGTGGTGCAGAAATGTTCACGTTCACCTTTAAATTGGAAACTCTTTTGTTCTTCACCTTGTCGTTTACTACCTGCTGTTTCTGTAACAGGAAAAAAGGTCTCTCAATGACTCCCCGAGTTCTCACATAAAAACAGACTCGTTTCAGACAGGCTTTACAAGTGTGCGCCATTGCCAAATGAATCTTAACAGCCTTTGTGGGCTGAAGCACAATAGGCTCATTTTCACTCGTCTTTAAAAAGGCGAGCTTTTTTGGGCACGATCAAACAGCAGGCCTGCGACAAGGTTTTGAAGTCTTCTCATCAGGAGAGCGGCGGTTTGCTTTGAAACACTTCTGACTGTGCCACATACTAACAGACGCAGTTTCACACTCTGAGAAACCCTGTCTCTCCCTCTTTTTCTGTCGCTCTCACCATGTTACAATTAAAGCCACCTCAAAGTGGGCCCTGGTGATCCTAAACATGTGGAGAGAGCAGGAATTTGACAGAAATATCTTGAAAGGCCCTTGGTGATGCAGACCGGGGTGTGCCTGTTGTTTCTCCTGTGGAGTGGAGGAGAGTAGGAGCGAGGGAGGCCGGCTCGGATGTGTTGATTTCTGAGGGAAAGCAGAACACCGCGGCGGTGCAGCCACCAGGGTTCTGGTGTGAGGAAAACCCACACGTGTCTGCAGCTGAGACAGCCTCAGGAATTCTTAGGAAATCAACAGTGATCAAGTTCTCAATGATTCATGTCCAAAAACACTGATGTATGAAGCAGAGTTATTTTAGGTCGAGATCCAAACAGTGATGCAATTTTCTTATGTACTATGATTTAATGGGGAAGTATTGGATCGGCCAAATAGCGAGTCCTAAAATGTTTCATAGGAATATATATATGTGAGGATAAATAGTTAGATTTGGCCACTTCCTGTTGAAAAACTGTGTATCATACCACTTAAGTTGGTCTGGCTTTTTTTCGAACATTGAAGGTGGTTTATTGCTGGCCACCTTAAAGGGGTCATATGATGCGATTTCAATTTTTCCTTTCTCTTTGGAGTGTTACAAGCTCTTGGTGCATAAAGAAGATCTGTAAAGTCTATATATATATATATATATATATATATATACAGTATATGGTGGTCAAGCTGGTTTTTTCTAACCAAGTAGACATTAGGCCTGCTGTACCAGCTCTGATCAACAATCTAGACCTTCTTTGACAATTTAATGGTGCTAATTAACCAACTTGGAACAGCCATGTAAAACCATCTACCACCTAAAAAGCTACTTCCTGTTGAAAAAAAAGGTTTATTTTACTGCTTAAAGTTGGCTTTGCGAGCATAGTAGCTGGTTTATTGCTGGTTGAAGGTGGTCTGCTGAATTTGGGACAACTAACTAATGGCTCTAATTAAGCAAATTGGAACAGCTAAAAACCATTTAAAACCATTTACTGTATAGTCTTAAAAGTATTTGTACAACACACTTTGAACAAAAACTATTGTCATGCTGTATTGATAACTAATGGTGTGTGCACACCAAAAGCGAATGTAATTATTTGCGCGAGTAGATTACATACAAAGTCAATGCAAAGACGCGAATAGATGCGAATTCGCACCGGGCGACGTGAATGATGCAAATTGGGTGCGCGAATGACGCAAAAATGACGCGATTGCTACAAACACAATATTCACTTCGCTTTTGGTGTGCACACACCATAACAAATAATAGCGTTATTATTCTGCTAAGTGGTAGCAAAGAAAAATACATATTGCCATTTTTGTTGAATGGTGAAAAAAGACTGCAGATTCTCATTCTCAGATTCTCGGACAAATCTCATATTTGATTTTTTTTTTTTTGGGTAGCTTTATTTACTTTTTTTTACTACAAAACTTTGTTCATTCTCCAATCAGATTACAGGAGAGGAAATGCCTCACGATCCAACATGGTCCCCTGCGATGCAAGCCTATGTGCTTGTACAGTTCCTTCTTTTGCTGGATGTATATAACAACTTATTAAAGGATCAAACGGTAGGTAATTTTTCCTTCTTTTTTTTTTTACTTTCACTGTTGAAATCGACATCTGATTTTCCCAGAAATGTGCCCCACTGAAATGTCAAAGCTATCATCTGAATGCCATCTTTCACTGTCATCTACAGGAGCTTTAAAAGCTTTTAATTTGCTGTGTGGTTAATGCTACCTCACAATGTCTATTATCAGCCTCGGTCTCTCTCTCATTATCCTAAATGTTCCTCTAATAATAAGGCATTTTACTAGCTGAATATGGACAGAATATTTTAAAGTAATCTTTGTCTATTATTTTTCAACCCCCCCCCTTTTTAAAAACATAGAGATGTTCAGTTGCCCTTGTCCGTTATCCTTGGAAGTCCATGTTCCCCAGGCATATTTTTGGTTAGCCAGAAAGCACGGCCCCACCCTGCCTCCCTGCTGAATTGAAACGGCCTGTTTTCCTGTGAGTCCTACCTCTGCGGTGCTCTCTTAGTTGTGGCTCTCGGAGAAGTGTCCCCTGGATCCCTTTCCTTAGCTCCACCAGCCAAAAAAACAGCCGGTTGGTGGTCCAGCAACCAATACAAATGCTCTTTTAAAGTAATCTTTGTCTATTATTTTTCAACCCCCCCCCCTTTTTAAAAACATAGAGATGTTCAGTTGCCCTTGTCCGTTATCCTTGGAAGTCCATGTTCCCCAGGCATATTTTTGGTTAGCCAGAAAGCACGGCCCCACCCTGCCTCCCTGCTGAATTGAAACGGCCTGTTTTCCTGTGAGTCCTACCTCTGCGGTGCTCTCTTAGTTGTGGCTCTCGGAGAAGTGTCCCCTGGATCCCTTTCCTTAGCTCCACCAGCCAAAAAAACAGCCGGTTGGTGGTCCAGCAACCAATACAAATGCTCTGACTGCTTTCCCAGCCCCTGGAAACCTTCCTTTTGCATCAGTCACTTTGTCCAAGGAAAATAACAAACCGAGGCCTTGAGGCTTAGCAATAAATAATGTAAAAATGTGTATTTATACCTTGTTGTCTGTTTGCATTCAATTCCATTGCTACAGTGATGCTACAGAATTGTTTAGTGGCACTCCAAAAAGTTAATTTTTAGTCATCTTTCAATGACATCATCCATACAGGGCTATCAATCCTGCTGGATGTTTGACTAACTGTTCATTATGGAAGGCCTGTGTAGTTGACCTCTGCTGAAATGCAAATTTCGGAAGATGGTTTTCCCCTTTGCCCTCTTAGTCTGTTATTTTTGAAACTGGATATGGAAAGGCTTTAAAAATTAACCAATCAAAATAGATTTTTTTCCCCTGTTTGTTAATTGTTGAAAAATGAGCCAGCGCTTCAGGGCTGAGGTCTGGGATCTAGATTCTATCTGGTGACACACAGGAAAACGTCTGTAATTGTTTGCTGGTGTCATATCAAAGACGTTATGAGGTCAGTCACCTGACTTAACCACTGCTGAGTATGATGGGTTAGCAAGGTCAAGAAAACATTATTAACATCATTCCTTGTATTAGCAGCAAATTATCTCCAGATTATGATTTCAGTGTAAATCCAGTCATAGAGGTGTGCCAATTCAGTCATAGATGATACTTCCCTAATGGTTGGCCTTGAGTTCTTGGACCGTCGAGAGAGTATTACTCAACTGTCCTGACACCTAAATTTGTTAGGTCACTTTTATTCAGCTGTGTTGCTTGCAAAATGATTTGAGTTAGAGTTATTATTATTGAGTAAGACGAAAGAAAGTTTTTAAAATCATGACCTAAATTGTTGTTCCCACAATTTATCTATGTATACTATATTACTATCTTACTTATCTTTCACCTGCAGATACTTTCTGAGATGACTGCACTTCTTTTGACTGCCTACGTATTACTTTCTCTAACTTCTTTGGGCTTCCTGATCGATCAGAGGTACAGCTCCTATAACTCCTGTTTTCATTTTATTCTTTATTTGAACTGGGCTTAAGGTGAACCGTCATTTTTCCCAGTGAACCGATTTTGAAAATTGATGACGGTATATACAGAGTATATGGATATTATATTAATATACTGTATACAAAACAGCACAGTACAATAAGAAAATATGTAAATAAGAAAAATAAAATGTTGTTGTGCCTTTCCTTCAGGGCTAATGCAGCTGAAATGGAGATGCTGAGATGTGTTTTGATAATGGCTCTTCAACAGTTTGGTTACATTAAGCCTCTGGTGCCTCTGTTGGCTTTTCCGATTGAAGTAAGTTTGACTGACACGTACATCATTACCATAGTCTCTATTACAGATGTCCAGCTTCCATTTAAGCACAAGACGCTCTTTGAATCATTCTCAGAAGAACATTGAACACAAGAACATTATCATCAGGTTTTACACAAACTTGTTGAGTTCATGCAGCTCAAGTGCAGCACAAAGGGAGATAAATCAAATACTGGCAAACTGATTTTTCAATTAAGCTTTTCACTCAAATTTTGATGCTTAAATGATAGAAATAGACGTATTTCCACTAGTGCTACTGCTATCAGACCTGTGTATATGTGTTAACTCCTTCCTAAATGTATGTGTGTTTGAGTGTGTGTGTGTGTTTTTCGGATCTGGCACTGGGTCTTTCTACACGCCTCAGTGATGTATGACTCCAGATGCATGGCCCAATTGACCATAAAATTGCTGTGTGTGTTTCTGGCACTTGCAGCGTGTGCCGTGCATCTCAGCTGACCTTTCATTAGCGCGCCACCTCTCTCTTCACGAGCCTCCATCCCTCCCTCCAGCTCTCCTCTTCTCACCATCCCAGTTTATGCAAAGGCAACGTTTCTGGAATCAATTAAACACGTCTGCGGCTCGCCGTGGAAGACTGATTAGATTTACACAAGAGCTGAATTGCTCGTTTTACTTTGTGAGCGTGCATCTGTGAGCTCAGGTGCTGAAATGCCCGCAGAACAGTTTTAGTAGCGTCATATTTTTGTGTCCGTGTGAACTGTACCCATAGACTCCACCTGATTTAATGTGTTTCTGTTGTAATAGGCCAAGGAAAGAGTTTCCCTTTCCCTGTAACTTTCCTTTAGACTGGTCTATTTCCAGCAATGCCATTATGACCCTTCAGAAACATTATCATTTGCTAAAAATTGCCCTGTCAGTTCCTCACTCATCCCGGCTTCTGTTTATTTCAGCTAGTGGATGATGTTCTTCCATTTCTGCCTGTGTTTTTTCCATTCTGTGTTTTTCCACCCATCAAAGCTAATATTTGTCCTCCTCATTTCTCAAGGGCGAAACAAAAATTGTACCGCTGCAAAGACCCACCCTACTTTTTTTTGAAGGAAAAGGTTAAGATAATATTATCAAGATCAGCTTCACACAAAAGCTGCAGTCAGCAGCGCCGCTGGCTTATCTTTTCATAGCACCTGACACCCTCCAGCACACCACAGGAGAGGAACTCTGGAACTTGGAGCCTGAATTTGACTGATAAGAAGAGTATTAGCAAGTATTGCAGGTGATTGGGCACAAAATAACATTTTTCAAAGATTTTATTTTATTTTATTTTATTTTATTTTTAATACAGTACCGTTCAAAAGTTTGGGGTCAGTTTCTTATACTTACCATGCCTGCATCTATTTGGTCAGAAATGCAGTTAAAACAGTAATATTGTGAAATATTATTCGAATCTGAAATTATTGTTTTCTATTTTAATATATTTTAAAATGTAATTTATTCCTCTGTTGCAATGTTGAATTTTCAGCAGTCATTACTCCAGTCTTCAGTGTCACATAATCCTTCAGAAATCAATCTAATATGCTGATTTGCTGCTCAGGAAACCTTTCTTCTTATTATTATTAATGTTCAAAAAACAGTTGTGCTGCTTAGTATTTTTGTGGAAACTGTGATGCATTGTTTCGCTTTTTTGATGAATACAAAGAACAGTTTTAAAGAACAGCATTTATTTGAAATACAGATCTTATATAACATTTATAAATGTCATTACTGTTAATCAATTATTGTCATTGCTGAATAAAAGTAATTTCTTTCTTTCTAAAAAAAAAAATCTTACTAGCCCCAAAATTTCTAACGGAAGTGAATATACAGCTTTTACATTTTTTAGTAATCAGCTCACTAGGAAATATCTCAGTTCCTTTCCATCATCTCTTGCTCAACATGTCTAGAGCATGTGATCTAATCACATCTCTGACATAAAATTTGTATTTTGATTTTACAATGTCATAATCAGTAACAATATGAAAATCACCACTCTTGACTGAAGAAGCCTAATGCTAATATATTCTGGAGCTTTCAGTGGCTTCAGGTTGCTAAGCAGGCTGCCATGGTGAACCGAACGTTCCTTACAAGCCCCAGGAGACCCATCCATCTTGGGCCTTGTCTCAGGAATCCCATTGAACTGATTTACAGAAAGTCCAGTGAGAGTCACACGAGGCTGCCATGACGCCCTTCACCCCGGCATCAAAGCGCTCAGAGCCCGGGCCGAACCAGGCTTCAGTCTCTCAGCTTCTTTTCAGAGAATTGGCGCTCGTTTGACTGCCAAAAGCAGTAGGGGGTTTCAGTAATGGCCACCTCAGCTCAGAGTCATGGACGAGTGCTTGAACTGCTTAACGGGGTTTTTTTTCTATGTCTTTGTGTGTGTGGTAAGCCAATGTTTTTGGTACGGTGAGCGATTCAGTGGTATGCTCACCAAGGCTGCATTTATTTGATCAAAAATACAATAAAACCCATAATATTGTGAATTATTATTGCAATTTTAAATAACTTTTCTATTTTAATATATTTTTAAGATGTAATTTATTCCTGTGATGCAAAGCTGAATTTTCAGCATCATTACTCCAGTCTTCAGTGTCACATGATCCTTCAGAAATCATTCTAATATGCTGATTTAGTGCTCAAGAGACGTTTCCTATTATTATTAATGTTGAAAATGGTTTAATATTTTGTGGAAAACGTGACATTTTGCACTCTCTAACTAAGAAGCAGCATGCATTACCACCATGTAGACATCCACATGTTAAAAAATCCCCATCGCTAGTCATACATCACTGAGGTGACAGCAGAGATTTAGTGCTGTTTGCTTTTGACCCAAAAATGCAGCTGCCCCGAAGACTCGACTCTTTGCTTATTAAACCTGAGTGTGAATGTGTGCTGCTCGTTTCTGCAACTCTGCATGTATCTTTGTATTTATTTCTATCGCTTTTATGTGTGTAAAAGAGAGAAAAGAGCTGAGGGAGACAGAAGGAGAGACACAAGCGGTCATCTGAGACAGTAAGAGCAGTAAAAAGAAGGGAAAAATACTATATCAAAATGTACACATCTCATGTGTTTTTTCACTTAAAATACGCCTGCAGAGGAAAATCTGAGAAGAAAAAGCCTCTCAACTTGATTGAAATATCTGCCAGTTTGTCATTTAAGGTTGCATTCTGGGATTTGAGACAGTTTCTCTGCTAAATTAAATTGACTTAGGTGGCAGTACAGCTCTGAATGAAAGTATAGAATGAGGTAGTGTCTCAAACATTTGCATTTGCGCTGTCTTTAATAATATTTTTATCCCTTTTGTCATACAAATATTCATTGAAATCCTTCTTCTAAATCTCTTCCTCCCATTTCATGCAAACACAAATATAGAGGGCTTCTAGTCTTTGTCCAATGCATATAATGCCCCAAAAAACTGTAGTATTGTAAGATATTTCTCCTAAGACTTGATGACACAGTGTAGATAAAACTAATGTGGGTTGCACAACTAATAATGTAATAATTTTAGGAGAATTTGATTAGGAATATTTGAAAGCAGAAACAGAAAACTTAAGCACAATGCTCTCCATTTAATAATAATAATAATTATTATTATTATTTGAATGAGAGTAAACTACATGCATTGAAAAAATTGCATTGGCATTTGATGGGTGGATTCAGGTAGCTTGAGGTCAGGAAGGACAGGCCATGCCTTTCCCTTCGTTTGTCTCTTGCTCTCTCTGTCTCTCTTCTCTCAGAGGGAAACAGCTGTGCTGCTCCTGAGGAAACTCTGGTTATTTCCCATTGGAGAGGTATTCTGATAGATAGAATATGATTTTGGACTCTGTTTAGAGCTCGGATGCAGTTTATGGTCTAGAACGCAAGGAGGGGCAGTTAAGGTTACAGCTTTTTGGAAGAATGTCACTTTTGGCCTGTTTCCACAGTGGCTTCTGTGAACCCCAACTCCAAATGCATCATGGGAGATTCTTTGGCCACATGCTTGACCTATTGGCTTTAATTCTTTTTTTTATTTTTTATGTAGTATATTCTCCTGGTATGTGACATTTAGGTTTCTCACAATGAATCACTTCAAATAAGGTTTTGACTTATAAAAATAAAGTTAGTGCACAGTGTATAATGTAACAAAATCTTAAAATATATCAATTGTTGTATTCTCATTTACATTTTTGCACACCACCTGTAATAATTTATAACTTTCCAAAAAAAAAAAAATATATATTTTTTTTTTATTACAAATTTAAATTTTAAATATGATAAAAACAACAAATTACACGAGAAAACTTTAATGTGCATTAGTAGAAATGCGACTAAGAAAAGTTAAGACCTTTAGTAATCAATGTTGAATTAGCCTAATAATATTGACCTATTTGGCGTTTAAATGTCAATATCTTGTTGTTTTCCGCAGGCCTTTGTCTTAATCTCTGCAGTCTACTGGAGTCTACAGTGTGTGAACCAGCGAATCAACAGGATGAAGAAACAAAACTAGATAAGACATCAACAGCAAACAACCTCATACTGACACATTACACACAAACATTTTACGATTCGGTGTCCCGCATCAGTGACATCTTCCATACATTTAACTGTGAGATTTGTCCTTTTAACTTTACCAGAAAACTACTGCTCTCACAAACACTTCACACTTTAGTTTGGCATTGAAGAGATGCTATAAAAATATCATGAGTTAAGATATTGTAAAGACAATATGATTCGTAGTTCTCAGAATGGTACGAACCAGCTTAAAACTAACTTTTAACTTTTAACATGTGGTAGATTAAATACAAAATGTATCAAATAATACAAGTACAATAACTAGTGTATTATGAAGAATTTTGTAAAATTATACACCAATTTTGTCATACTGTACAGAAAATACTTGACCTCTTACTGACGTTCCAACATGCTTTTAATTGTAAGTAATTGTGACATAAAATATTCTATACCTACATATATGTGTATGTACTATTTTAGTAAAACTCAGTCTGAATAAACCCAAAAAGACTGGTTGTTAGCTGTGGTAATTGTACGAGTTAACACCAGGTGGTGCTAGCAGGACTCCTAAAACAGTGTCCCATTTCATTCAATAGCCTACATGTGTTTATTGATCATTTTAATGCTTGTCAGGGCTAGTGTCACTGGAGAGCAATTACACTACCACTGTCATATGAGCTGACTGTTTTGATTAGTTCAAATTAAATTAGTTCATAATAAAGAACCTTGGTATATTTGAAAAAATGAAACCACTACAGTCAGTGTGCAGTCAGTCAGCAAGACAAATAATGCAACAAAAAGAAAAACAATCTGCCTCCCAACAGAATAAGAACATTCATTTTAGTAAATGTTAATGAGAATAAAACTATATTTGATTTTATATTTTCTTTGTCAAAGCTTGTTTATATGATTTAAAACAGCACCTTTCTAACATGATATGACGTGCTTGTCACTATTTCATAGTTTCACAGTTTCATAACATCTGGATTTCACACCTGGAATAAAGCAAGGTGGCGTGCCTAAGTGGTGTAAATAATTAATGACAATGTCTTGCTAACAGATCCCTGGAGGTGTGTCTGAATTTAATATGTTACTTAAATGTTATTTCTCATTAGGTTATCAGAATCTGTAGAGTATTAACACATTTTTTTTTCACGGTGAAACCTTCCAAAGCGTCACTAACTGATTTACTTCATTTTGATAGATTATGTAACCCATGTTTGCCTCTAATGTAATATATAACATGCCTATATGTAATATAGGCAGTTTGCATCTAATATAGACTATATGGACAAAAGTATTAGGACACCTGACCATTACACCAACAGAAACTTCAATGACATTGCATTCTAAATACATGGACATTAATATGGTGTTGGTCCCCCCTTTGCAACTATAATAGCTTCCACTTTTCTGGGAAGGATTTCTGAAGGATTTTGGGGTGTTTCTATGGGAATTTTTGCTCAGTCATCCAGTAGAGCATTTGTGAGGTCAGGCACTGATGTTGGAAGAGAAGGCTTGGCTTGCAATATCCGCTCCTGTTCATCCAAAAGGTGTTCGATGGGGTTGAGGTCAATGCTCTGTCAAGCTCTGTCAAGTTCTTCCACACCAAGCTCATATGACTGTGTTTTTATGGACCTCGCTTTGTGCATTGGGGCACAGTCATGCTGGAGTAGAAAACCTTCCCCAAACTGTTCCCACAAAGATGGAAGCATAGCATTGTCCAAAATGTCTTGGTATGCTGAAGCATTAAAGGGATAGTTCACCCCCAAATTAAAATTCTGTCATTAATTACTCACTCTCATGTCATTCCAAACCCGTAAGACCTTCAGAACATAAATTAAGATATTTCTGATGAAATCCGAGAGTTTTCTGACCCTGTATAGACAGCAACGCAACTGAAACATTTAAGGCCCAGAAAGGTAGTAAGGACATCATTAAAATAGTCCATGTGACATCAGTGGTTCAACTGTAATGTTATGAAGCTACGAGAATACATTTTTGTGCACAAAGAGAAAAAAAAACAACTTTATTTAATGATTTCTTCTCTTCTGGGTCAGTCTCCGCCACCATTAAGAGTGCCACGACAAAGGTTTATCCTAATACTTTTGTCTATATATTATATAGCTTAAAGGTGTAAAGCTTTTTGCTAATTTGTGAGCAAATGGCATTCGGTACTGTTATGTGTGTGTTGAATGGGAGCTGTGACTAACAATTCCTTAGGGAAGATGGTCCCCATTGACGTTTAAAAATACTCCTTACATGGAATCGGTTATTCCGTTCAAAGACTTTGGAGTCGAAATGTGCGTGTACTTATGGTATTGTTTATATAAACTAGTACAGCTCTATATTTACATGACAGCTCGGTTTGGCACAAATCTCTTTCCTGACAACACCGACTGTTAGTTGCATGCCTGCACATTGAGTTTGAGCTAAAAGCTCAGTGATGTGAGGATAACTCACATTAGAAGTGACCCGAACCTCTTTTGCACAGATATTCTGTCGGCCTATTATGCTATTAAGTGCCGACTGTAAGATCTGCATTACAAGTACACAATGCAATCCACTGGAAACAATTTTCAGAGGCTTGATTAGGTAAAATGTATAATGTAGTGAAAATAACAGGCCTGTATCCTCATCAAAATGGCAGATGGGTCCTGTTAGTCTCACAAATGTGGTGTTCCGCTGCCAGAAAAGACCCAAATGACTCATGTTCAGATTATAGCATTACAGTGCTTGCACCAACTGGCAGAACTAGACAGAAACGGGGCCATCCTTTATGTCTCCTAGCCTGGAATGGAACTCTTCCACGGGATGTTGACCACGGTAAAATATACAGTATTATGGGATTTGTGGCCTCATTTAGCCTTGTAACAAGATTGTTTATAAAATATGTGGCGTTTAGGGTGCATTTTCCAACTAGACATGTTTACAGTTGGCAGTAATTTGCCTTTGCTAATGGCTTCCAAACAGCTATTTATTGAAAAGTGATGCACATGCAGTACATTCAGATGTTGTACTGGTTAACTTAAAGGGATGGTTCACTCAAAAATGAAAATTTTGTCATCATTTACTGACCCTCATGTTGTTCCAAATCAGTTTGACTTTCTTTCTTTTTTCTATGGATTACAAAAGAAGATATTTTGAAGAATGTTTGAACAGTTTTAGAGAATGGTATGTTTCAGTTATATGACAGATGTGGTTGGAGTTATTCAGGTGAATAGAAGGGATGCCGAAAGCTAGGAAAAGCTGTCAGTCACTTCACAGCTCGTGAATTCTAATTTTCTAAGGATGTAAACAAAATGAATGAACCAGCTGTCCCATGCATTGCTTCCAAGAGGTTTAGCCCTACGCAAAGTGTATGATGAGCCATTTTACCCCTAATAAGTTTAATTTTTGGACATTTTTCTTACACATAGTAGTAAGGATTTTTGATCTGTAAGTTTATAGTTCAGGCATACAATTACAAAAATTGTGGTTATAGAAAAAATGTGCAGCATAATTTTGGGGCAAGTAAGATTTGTTTCTTTTTTTAATTAATGTTTTTTTTTATTTAGCAAGGATGCATTAAATTGATCAAAAGTGACAGAAAACACATTTATAATGTTATAAAAGATTTATCTTTCAAATAAATGCTGTTTTTCTGAATTTCAAAGAATCAGAAAATTTATCATGGTTTCCACAAAAATAGGTTTTCGACTGATAACAATAAGTTTGTTGAGGATCATGTGACACTGAAGACTGGAGTAATCGCTGCTAAAACTTTGCCAAAAAAAAAAAAAAATCCAAAATATTTTAAAAAAAAATTCTGCATAATTGTGAATGTGGTTAATTTGTTCTACTTTTTAAAAAAGTATAATCTTTGAAAGATATTTTCAGAAAAAAAAAAATCTCAAAAATGTAGACATTTGTTCTGCATATTCATAAAAAAGGTTAATTTGTTCTAAAAATTTCTTATCCCAAACAAATCTTTAAAAAAATATATTAAATGAAATTATAAAAATAATCTGCATGTTTCTGAATGTAGTTAATTTGTTTTACCATTTAAAAAAAAATATATATATATATATTTATATATATAT